AGTCAATGGAAAAGTACAAGAACCCCCCACACACACACTCACATGTGGGATATAAAACAGAACACACAAACTCATAGACACAGACAATACTATGATGGTTGCCAGGGAGAAATGGGATGCGAGGAGGATGAAGATGGTAAAGGGGTGACGGAAGGAGACTACACTTTCGGTGGTGAGCAGATAATGCAATATATAGATGGTATATTATAAAATCATACACTAAAAACAATGTTAATGTTACCACAATAAATTTTTTTTTAAATCTGTACTGAAGCATATATATCTTGTAAATACAAAACAAATAATATGCAAAGGTTCAAACTGTGATCATTGAATTTCATTTGTTTATAAAACACTCCATTTATAATTTAAAATAATAAAGACATGATAACTACAAAAGATGTTGCTTTGTAAAGCATATTCTACCTATTTATGCTTTCGGCCCATCTTTAATCCTCTCAAGACAACAAAATTCACCAAGTTCACATCAAGCATCATATACTGCACTTGGTTTTATTGCTGGTTTATATGATTATTTTCAAGTTCCTAAGCACATTGTCTTAGCTGCCTTGGTTTTGGCAAATTTGTATTCAGTGTGACCCAGGGCAAGCCACTGCAGCTCCCTGGGGCTCAGCATCTTCATCTGCAAGGTACACAGAGGGCCAGACAGAGGTGATGAAAGTAGAACAGGGCCGGTATAATGCAGAAGAGAGTAGTAGGGACCCTAGAGAACTGGAGGGGACATGCCCAGTTTAAAGGGAGCAGCCACAACCTCAGAGATGCCAGCTGTTTTGGTTTCTCATAAAAAGTGGTGGGAAAATGGGTTTTTATGGGAATTCCCTATGTCTTAATTTAGCAATAATTCAAACTCAAAAAACCTCTTTCAGCAGAAACCGGTTTGGCTCAGTGGATAGAGCGTCAGCCTGCGGACTGAAAGGTCCCGGATTCGATTCCGGTCAAGGGCATGTACCTTGGTTGCGGGCACATCCCTAGAGGGGAGTGTGCAAGAGGCAGCTGATCGATGATTCTCTCTCATCGATGTTTCTAGCTCTCTATCCCTCTCTCTTCCTCTCTGTAAAAAATCAATATATTAAAAAAAAAAAAAAAACCTCTTTCATCCTTATTGGATATATACCTTGGAGTAAAACTGCTAGCTCAAATGGTTTAAGGACTCGTGAAATTGTTTTCCAGAGTAGCTGCATCATTTTACATTCTTATAAGCAATTCGGGAGGTCTCCAATTTCTCACATTCTTTCCAACACTTGTTTGTCTGTCTTTTTTATTTCAGCCATCCTAGTGGGTACAAAGTGCTATCTCATAGTGGTTCTGATTTGCATTCCCCTGATGAGTAGTGATGTTGAGCATCTTTTCATGTGCTTACTATTTGTATATCTTCTTTGGAGAAACATCTGTTTAGATCCTTTACCTATCTCTAACGTGGGTTATTTACCTTTTCATTGTTGAATTATTAGTTCTCTAAAAAATCTGATATAAGTGCTTGCGAGTCACATTTTTGTCCCCCAAACTTAATGCTCAGAATATTCTACTTACTAAGACAGGAAACTATTGTAATACACGTGGGAAACAGTGTAAATAGCAAAGAGGTGTTTGTTTGTTTTTAAATATGTCTATTAGATTTCATCAAATTTTGACGATGTAATACTGAGGAAATTGGGTATTTCTTTTTTCTGTAATCATATTGAATTTAAACTAAAATAATTCATAAATGTATCTATTAAATCTCTAAGAATACTCTAGGTTTCTTTTATATTTTAACTTTTTCTTAAACAGGCTAGTAGCTTACTCCTAGTTTCCAAAAATGAAAGATAAATATTAGATTGAAAAATATTTGCAAACTGGGTTTGCTTCTGGAGAGGTGAATCTCTGGATCACAAGAGGTCAGTAGAAAGAGAAGGGTTACTTTTGACTATATTTTATACTACAAGCAATGTCATTTAAATAATTTTAAGCCCTGACCGGTTTGGTTCAGTGGATAGAGCATCAGCCTGCAGACTGAAGGTTCGATTCCAGTCAAGGGCATGTACCTTGGTTGTGGGCCTATCCCCAGTAGGGGGTATGCAGGAGACAGCTGATTTCTCTCTCGACGTTTCTAACTCTCTATCCCTCTTCCTTCCTCTCTGTAAAAAAAAAAAAAAAAAAAAAAAATCAATAAAATTTAGAAATAATAATAATTTTTAAAAGAAAATCATTTCTAGAATAATCTCAGTAATCCCCTTAATCTTAGGAGGGATATCGATAAAATTAATAACTAAACACTTAGAGAAGAAGGGGAAAATTTAATTTTGAATATCACCAAATATATGTTTACAAAATAACCCAAGATCCATTAGAGTTTAATTATATATAAACTCAAATAACCCCACTAAAAAAATAGAAATAAAAACCCAGCGGCACACCACATTACATATTTTCTGATCACCTTGTTTTTAGTTTTGAGGTTTCAGTAGGTAAATAATTTATCTTTCTCATTAGGCTTAATCAGCAGGATCATTTTGTACCCACAGGAGTAGTGAATGGCATCTTAACAGCTGAAAGGCAAAAGTCAAATAAAGTCCCTAACTGCATCGTTGTTTTGATCCAAAAAATAACCTGGGTCATGTTTATTGCTATACAGTGCCTCTCAAAATAGCAGCCCTTGAAAATTGGTGGTTTGCTTAACCCAAGAAATCTGTGAAGGTTTATATCATAAAATCAACAGCTAGATAGAGAAAAGCCACATTCACCCTGCTCTTTAAAATCAATTGGAACAGACTCTGTTTTCCATATTGTAAACCCATCTTGGGTTTTTGATCAACAAGAGAACTTCTAGCCTGACTAGCGTGACTCAGTGCTTGAGCTTCAACCTGTGAATCAGAAGGTCACGGCTCGATTCCAGGTCAGGGCAGATGCCTGGGTAGCAGGCTGATGTCCAGTTTGGGACATGCGGGAAGTGACCAACCAACGATTCTCTCCCATATTGATATTTCTATCTCTTTCTCTCCCTCTCCCTTCCTCTCTGAAATCAATAAAGATTTTTTAAGAGAGGACCTTCTTATACTGTGTCCAGAATTTAGGAGAAAATGTATCAAGCTAAAAGTGAAGTGGTTTTAGTCCTTTGATTCCCACATTCTCAAATACCATCAACTGAAAGACTTATAGAGATTCCTCCCTTCACTCCTTCTTAGCAATTGTCTGTATTCTTATAATTTTCTTTATAATTCAAATGAACATGATTTCTTTTTTTAAGATATATGTGCCCTCAATTGAACCATGACTGCTGATTCATAGGTCGCCGCTCAACCACTGAGCCATGCCAGCCCAGATGAACATGATTTATTAAGATCACACAATCCTTTTCATAAAGAATTTTTCATCTTCTAAAGGTCAGATTTCTAACTATTTCACATATCTTCAACTACTAGGTAGATACTTACAGAAATAGAATAGGAAAGGGCAGGGGAATACAATGTCTTCAATATCTCGCATCTACCTGCGAGGCTCAGATAAGCAACTCAGAGGATGGCTTTAGATGGGGGGTTTTCAAGAGGGGGGGAGCTCTGAGCGGAGCCCAGGAGGGGACAGGCCCTGATATCGGAGAAGGGGAGAGAGGAAGCCGGTCTCCCACCCTCCTGCTCTCAGCTCTACTTACTGCCCACAGGGAAAGCCACTGTCAAATTAGCTCCCCTTCTCCCAGCTCCTCTAAAATCTCTCCCACCATTGTCTGCAGATATTTTGTTCCTGCAAAACCACCACATGGAAAATTTCCACAGGTTAAAAACATAACTTTTATTTCAGTGGGAGAAAGATTGTGCATTTCTAAGCCCTTAAATGAATCCCCAATTTAAATACTATGAAAATGGGCCCATTACCTAAACAGTGAGCTCTGGTATCATGACAAAACAAGGTGGTTTCCCTTCATAAGTGACTCTTCAATATGATTTGGTCTTTTGTTGTTACTGAGGGTACATTTAAGCTACCCTCACAAAGCACACGCTCGGTATTTATGTGATTCATTTATGTGTTTATGTGATTCGTTGGACTAGCAGCATGAGCATCACCTGGGAGCTTGTTAGGCACATGAGCCCGCAGGCTACCACTCAGTCCGAAACTCTGAAGGGTAGGGCCTGGGAAAGTGGGTTTTAATCAGCCCTCTAAGGGCTTCTGAAGCACACTGAAGTTTCAGAACCACGGCTGTAGTTAAACCTTTCTTGCCAAAAAGAAAAAGAAAGAAAAAACAATAGAAAGAAATCATTTATGCCTGCTATGCACAAGGTTATCCTATATAACAAAAGGCTAATATGCAAGTTGACCAAACAGCAGAACGACTGGTTGCTATGACATGCACTGACCACCAGGGTGCAGATACTCAATGCAGGAACTGCCCCCTCATGGTCAGTGTGCTACCATAGGGGGAGCACTGCTCAGTCAGAAGCCAGACTCATAGCTGGCTAGCATAGCAGTGGTGGTGGGAGCCTATGGGGACGGGCCTAAGCCATCAGTTGGACATCCCCTAAGGGCTCCCAGACTACAAGAGGGTGCAGTCTGGGCTGAGGGACCCCCCCCCCACTCCTCTGAATGCACGAATTTTGTACACCAGGCCTCTAGTCTTCTATAACCTAGCAAAGCATGAGTGATACTGTGAGAGGGGAACATAAGCAGCGAGAACCAACGATTCAAAGTCAAAGATGACAGTGGTCCTGGAGAGTCACAGTAATTCTCCATGACAAGGCCTAGGACCCACAGATCACCTCTCAGAAATGTGAAGAAATGTTTCATATACTGAAGGAGATAGAAAATTCACTATAAGTCAAACCAAATTATTTAAACTCAAGTGAGCACATTTCAGATGTAACCATATTTCCTTCAAACTCTAAAAAAAAAAAAAAAAAAATTCGTATCCTTAATACCTTTCCTAACCTACTAAACCACAATTTTGGAAGTGTCCTTGTATTTTGTTCTGGAGGTCACACACTCATCATTACTCTTCTTTATTTCTCCAGTAAAGGGTTACCTTCCAGTTCAACATTTACCTCGGAAGAGGGGACCATCTACTTGACTTCTGAGCCAAATGCTCTGGAAACGCAGGACGATAATGCCTCCGTGCTGGATGTTTATTTAGTAAGTAATTTCTAGTTTCTTCTTCTTCCCTTCGGATTTACAAATGGACACAGGTCATGGTTTACACGGAACAAGTTCTGTAAGACCAGGCATGCTTGGGTGTTCTAAGAAATAGTGGCACCCTGTCACTTCTACAAATGGTGCGTCATCTTTTTACAATGTTTTCCCACCATTCACGTAGAACATTATACAAAAGAGTATCTAGGATAGGATACTAAATCACAAGATGTAATAAAAGGGCAGATGCCTTAATGCAGAGCAAAGTGCTGCTCCTCGATGTTATTTCCTAAGTAATGTCGTCTTTGACTCAACTGTATTGCCTTGCGTGTAAATCTTCATTTGAGGAAGACTGCCTTGAACACTTGGTGCCCTGAGAGGCACAGAAGGAGGTTGTGGGAAGAACCTGAATTCAGCACCCAGAATCTTGGCTCTCTCCCTCCCTCAGTAGTTAAGCAGCTGTGTGATCTGAGCAGGGACCTCTCAGGCCGTGTGTCCTTATTTGCCAAAGAAGATAAATAACGCCTGCCTTGCCCACCTCGCACGCTGCTTAGAGAATCATGAGTGATCATGTGTGTGGACACCCTTTACTGTCCCTCAGGCTGTCTCTACGGGCGTAATTGGATCATTAGATGAGGCCTGGGATGCTACTCTAGACTGTAAAAGAGGAGAGTGAGCATTGTCCCTGAAAAGTATATCTCATGCTCACTCTCCACGTGCTTATACACCTGCACCAAATCTCATGGGACAGGGAAGTGTTGATTTAGAATTTTCTGCTTTTTAAAGTTTTTGCCAAGCCTGAGCCTGTACACCAGATCACTGTTAGTGTGCAGGCTCGACGTCGGGAACCGACACCACTGTCTCGTAGTAGCACATCTCCACACCTCATCTTATGCTTCTCCATCTCCCCCAACGTGGCACCGCGTCTCCTAAGTGTACTCTGCAGGATTTCAGTCACCCAGAATTGTACTTCTCAGTCCAAAGACCTCTAGTGTCTCCCTCTCTCTCCTGGAGTAAACTCCACAGTCCTCAAGGCCCTATCCAGTCTGGTCTCCCCCTCCTCTCTGACCTCTGCCCCAGTGCTGTTCCAGCCACACTGGCCTCCTTCATGCTCCTCCCACAGACCAAGCATGTTTTTGCCTCAGGACCTTTGCACTTATTACTTCTGTCTGCACACCATCTCAGCTGTCCCATGCTTATTCCCTCACTTCGTCCACTTCTCAGCCCAAACATCTTCTCAGAGAGGTTTTTCGAGGTGAAGACCCACTATATAAAACAGAAGCTCCCTGCCGAGATAAAAATGTTATGGAAGAATTTTTTTTTTTTTTACAACCCCTGCATATCCTAGTTGTGGCAAAAAGAATTTTTTCCCACTAAACAATGCTCCTCTTCACACTTTTAAAAAGTAAGGTATGTGTATATTGCAAAATCTTCACAGAAGAGTTGGTTCCTCTCCATAAGCAAGAAGAAAAGAAATTAAATAGGAAAAAAATATATGCAGTACTTTTTTGGTCTCATGCTAAGTTTTGTTACATCTGAAAGTAGAAACCAAGAAAGATGAAATGAAAGACCATGTGAAACTTCATCTTCATGAGCTGAGGACTCATGCCACTTGTGTGGATCTTTACAAAAATCAGCTGTGCCCCACCAAGGGAGTGTTGATGCTGCCGAGAGGAATGTAAGATCACAAGGTGGTTAAATGTCATTGCTGGTACCAGTTCCTTATCCGTTACCCCTTAGTCCGCTGGTAGAAAAGCTGTCTTATTAATCATTGTGTTCCACTTGGTAGCTATCAGTTTCATTTATGAGAACACTGCTTCTTATCTGGCCTTATTAGTGTCAAATTTTCTTGTTTTATGTCTTTGATATTAAAAGCAAAGCATTTCAGCAAAGCGTGACAGTTGCCTCAGAAGCCATAGGGGAAAGCTGCCGTATCCATCACTGATTGTAGTGAGATCACTTGAGGATCAAGTAGATAAAAAGGAATCATGGGGGTTGGGAACTGAAAGAGAAGGTGGTGGCGGTTAGCTGGCTGGTGTGGTCTGCTGAACAGCTTTTGTGGTGGTTTAGAATCACGGAGGACAGGAAAGGGAAGGAAGGGCGAGTCAGCTTATGACGAGAGTAACAAGATAATGAAAATTCTTCTCCCCAAGGTGGGAGGAAAGCTGATCTTGCCTCATCTTATTTTGTAGCTAATAACAATAAGCTATGAAACATTTTTGAGTGTTTCCTACATGCCATATATACATTTATTTAATCCTCACATCAACCCCATGTGGCAGGTGTGGTTACTAGTTTCTATTTTTTACAGATAAGTTAAATTAAGGCACAATGGAGATGATGCAATTTGTCCTAGTTATGCAGCCAGTAAGCAACAAGACTAGTGTTCAAACCAGTAAACACTAGCCCCGAGCCACACACTTAACTGCTGCCTGGATTAGGAATTATGCTTTCTGGATTAGGAATTATGCTTCCTTTGCAAGATGCAAATTAGACCTAGAGAAGTTAAAAGGCGCATCCAAAGTCAGACAAGGTAACAGCACAAACAATGTAGAGGATACAGAGACAACTTGGTTTAATAAGCATTGATTCTTTTTGAATGAGAATGTTCAAGAAGAATGAATAATAATCATAGCCAAACTAAGCACTTGGCCTCGGCTGGCCCTAGGCAGCAGACGGGCTGAGGGCGGGTCTGGCAGCATTATCTGCCTGCCGCACCCCCTGGCTGGGCTGAAAGGACTGGGGGAGTCCAGTGGGGCTGAGGGAACTGGGCACCGCCATCTTTGTGATAGTGTGATGGTCAATTTGCATACTCCCTCTTTATTAGATAGGATTTTGTATGCTCTTCCAGATCTGAAAGGATACAGCCCAGTATCCTCCCTTCAGTATTCTTATTTGCCTCAAGACTATGAAAGAGAACGGAAAGCAAAGGCATGTGAAGGGAAACAGTCTTGCCTACACCTTTGTCTCTCCTACCTCTTGACTTAATTTGAATTCTCTTAATCAGAGCTACCTTACCTGAACGGCACTTGGAGGCTTCTGTGGTGACACTGTGTTCTGTGTTGTAACCAAACGTAGTCAGATTTCTCTTGTAATGTGTCTCCTCCTTTAAGATACAGCATTTCTCTCTTGGTACCTGTGACCTCCCCTGGTGCTATTATTTGTGCTAATGGACAATAGTGCTTATACCCCTTTAAAACATATCATTTAAATGCAAATGACATGCACACTGGATAACATCTGAAATTTCTTTTAAGGATTGCCCCACATATGTGTACGGTATGTAAATTAGGACAGCTATCCTTTTTCCTGTGATTTGACACAAAATTAAAAGAATAGGGTACCTTTTGAGACAGCTCATTAATCCACTGTCCTTATTAAAACATTTGGTTTGGGCTCCATGTCCCTAGCTACCTGCACTGCTCTGAAAAGGCCATTCACCCTCATCCTCTAGACCAGTGATTTTCAACTGTGCACCTCAAGAATGTTTAAAACATGTAACAACTGACTAGTCAGGGGCACTGACCTCTTTCCCTTATATTGTCAAATAGAAAAATGATAACAACCAACATAATACTGTCCTGTGTGAATGAATGAAAATTATACCTATATTTGGTCAGATTGACAAAAAATACTTTTTTTTTTTTTTGGTGTGCTACAGAATTTTAGTACTTGGTTTATGTAGGCCATGAGATTAAAAAAAAAAAAAAAAAAGTAAAAAATCACTGCTCTAGAGTTTCAGGCTATCTAAATCACTTGCAAATATTCAAATCAAGAGAGGTGTTTCAGAAGATGATTTTACCCCAGAACCAGAGATGTGTTTTCTGTTGAATTTTGAGTTGATGACATAGATTAGGGCAATGGTCAGCAAATTCATTAGTCAACAGAGCCAAATATCAACAGTACAAAGATTGAATTTTTTTTTTTGAGAGCCAAATTTTTTAAACTTAAACTTCTTCCTAAGCCACTTCTTTAAAATAGACTTGCCCAGGCCATGGTATTTTGTGGAAGAGCCACACTCAAGGGGCCAAAAAGCCACAGTTTGCCTACCACGGGATTAGGGTATTTAAAAGAATACAATAGAGATGAACAGGCTCTACTGACTTAAAACAGGCAATCGTGGGGTCTTAGTAGAAGAGCTACATTCTACTGTTTGAACAGTCCAACATTCTAAGGCACTGACATGGTCATGGTAGCTGTTATTTCAGTTCCTAACGCAGCTTTATTGCCGGGTGTAGAATGCAATTTGGTGTTAACTGGAAGAGGAACAACTAACAAAGTCATCGCAGCAGAAAAACGTGGGTGACTAGCTGGGGATGAATGGGTAAGTGAGAGAGACAGGATCGCTTTTTAAATCTGGGAAATTGAAAGATGGCTGCTACTCAAGAGTGATTTTCTTGCGTCTATTATTTAGTCCTAAGGATATGCCCTTTCTTTTTACATATTATCATCCTCTCAGTAATATGTAGTTTTATTCAGGTATGTATCTCTGCAAAACGGCTATTTGAAGTGCAAAGATAGCTATGGGCAAAGGAGGAGAGAGAGCTGAGCCATTTTTTAGGCATGCTGACATTGGAGATGGTGCTCCGATGTGCCGCTGCTGGCTGGCTTGGTGACTGTATGTGTCCTTAGGGTGGTTAATAACACTCTTTGATCATGGTACAAGGGTGGCAGAGAAATGAAAATGATTGAATTAACAGCTTCTGTTATGTATGAGAAAAAGAAGGAAAACATTTTAAATCAGGTCAGGGTGTCTTAGAAAATTCAGTGGAACTTTCCGACAAGAGAAATGGCACTTCAGGATTGGACTCTGTTGGCGTTGCGGTGAATGGCATGTATGTGAAGTGGCAGGTGTCTTTCATCCCTCCTTGTCTGACTGGTGTTGGCTGCTGCAAGGGGTGTTCATTTGAGACAGTGGCAATTCTACTGCTCCTGGCAGAGAACAAGATTCCCCACTGACACGAAAACAAAAACAAAAATGCTGCTGAGGTTTTTGGTAGGTT